ATCACATGATAGCAAAACAAAATAAGTTATAAAAATAGCATATTCATAAAAGCTAGCAAAGAGTTATTACTTTAAATCAAAAATATAATCAATATCAAAGGCTTATGACAGATAACAAACAATACAGAGACCATGCCACAAGTAGCCAAGAACATAATACATATAGACCAACATTAGCCTTCCACTGGCAAAGCCAAAGAGAGCCTATGGAGAACTTTTTGGGAGGCTGATGAGCTTTGGGTTTTTCTCCCTCAAAGATACTAAATGAGCATATTCACCAAAGTTCAAATTATACATCCTTTGGCTGTCAGAGAAGAGTTATATTAGTCTATTAAAAATGAATTAAAAATGAATTCCAAATCCCTTCTTTGCTAAAACATTGATTCAGTCTCATTTTTAAATAGATGTTGATGTGTAAGGAAATGTACCTGTAATATATTAATCTACATTTTAAAATTACCCAAGAACAACTATTTTGGTATTTTCTAATCTGATATCTATTGGAATCCTTTTTTAAAGAACATTCCTTATATATACCCATTTTTTAAATTTAAATATTATATATTTAGGGCTGGGGTTGTTACACAGTGGTAGAGCACTTGCCTAGCATGTGTGAGGCACTGGATTTGATTCTCAGCACCACATATAAATAAGTAAAGGTCCATTGACAACTAAAAAAAAAATATTTTCTAAAAAAGTAAAAAAAAAAAAGGGGGGGTACTGGGGTTGTAGCTCAGTGGTAGAGCACTTGCCTAGCATGTGTGAGGCACTGGGCTCGATCCTAAGCACTACATAAAAATAAATTAATTAAATAAAGGCATAAAAAACACAATAATGGGCTGAGGCTATGGCTCAGTGGTATCGAACTCCCCTGGCATGTGTGAGGCACTGCGTTTGAGTCTCAGCACTGCAAATAAATAAATAAATAAATGACAACAACTAAAAAAAAAACTTTAAATACAATAACATTATTAAAATAAAGTTTAAAGAGATTATATATTTAGAATATATAGTACTTTTTATTTCGGTGTTGGGTATTGAACCTAGGACTTCAAAGCTATATCTCTAACCCCTAGAATATATAATAACTCTTTAAAGAAGAAGCTTATTAAAAAACAATGCCTAAGAGTTGAGGAAGCATAACCATTAGACAGGGGCTTCACTGAAATGTGGTTAAAGATTGTGGTGTATTGTGTGATACAGTAAACTAATGACAGTAATTTCTTTGCTTTTGGGGCTGGGGATGTGGCTCAAGCAGTAGCGCACTCGCCTGGCATGCGTGCGGCCCGGGTTCGATCCTCAGCACCACATACAAACAAAGATGTCGTGTTTGCCGAAAACTAAAAAATAAATATTAAAAAAATTCCTCTCTCTCTCTCTCTCTCTCTCTCTCTCTCTTTAAAAACAAAAAATTCTTTGCTTTTCAAGGAAAGGATTTTTCCTCCCTCACCATGCATTTCTTTCCCCATAGAGGTAATTTTTCATTAGAGGGACATTATCCATTTTCCCTACTCTGTCACTGTTTATGTTATTTTTGTTTTCAAATAAAATAGGGTTTTGTTCCCTATTTATACTGACTGCTAAGGCTTGGATATGAGGTTTCCCCAAAAGCTCTTATATTAATTTAGGAATGTCTGGAGGTGTGAAATGATTGGATTGTGAGATCAGTAACCTAATCATAATCAGTCCATCCTAGTGTGAATGGACTGTGTGGTACCTGTACCCATGAGGAAGTGTGGCTGGAGGAGGTGGGTCACTGGGGACATGCCCTGGAAACATGCACCTTCCCTGTGGCCCCTTGTGACTCTCTTTGCTTCCTAACTCAGCTGGGATCTGAGCAGCTTTCCTCTGCTGGGCCCTCCCTTCATGGTGTGCTACCTCACCTGGGGCCCAGAGCAATGGAGGACCAACCAAAGACTGAACCTCTGAAACCATGAGCTCAAAATAAATTTTTCCTGGGCTGGGATTGTGGCAGAGTCCTTGGTAGAGTCCTTGCCTACTGTGTGTGAGGCACTGGGTTTAATTCTCAGCACCACATAAAAATAAATAAATAAAATAAAGGTATTGTGTCTATATACAATAATATAATAAAAAAAATTATTAAATAAAATATATTATTCCTTGTCTTGTAGGATATTTTTGGTCACAGCAATGAAAAGCTGAATAAAACAGGGACCATATTTTAATTAGATTTTAGAAAAGGAAAATCTATGTTCTGGTTCTCTTACAAGTTATAAGTTATGCTAAGGTACAACATCTGCTTTTTTGGGTATTCCTACAGTGAATTCTATTTTGAAAAGATCTGAAGATTATCTATATTCAGGAATTGCTATTTATATATAATGTTAATGAAGCTATTTCTCTTTTGGTGGAATATATACATGTTTATATATTACATATATGCTTATATCACTCATATATGTATATATAGTGTTAATGAAACTATTTCTCATTAATTCTACCAAGAGAAATAACTTCATTAAAAATATCCCACCTAAGTTGATAGTAACTCTTGGATGCAGATAAGTCTAAGATTATCATATATATATATAATTAATTACTATATATATTGATATATTATCGTATATAATTAATATACATATTGATATATTATATATATACCCATATGATGTTACATTATATATATATACTAGTAATATACAGATACATATTAGATAACATATAGTATATGTATATATAGTTATATATGTAATATGCTTGCTATTTGATATGTATGATTAATATATATAAACCAATTTGACCTGCTTTCAAAATGCCATTATGGTGGGTTGGAGCCCAAACCAAGTCGTTGTTTGTGATAAACCTTCTCTAAAAAACATCAAACCTCCAATCACTTCTACATCTAAAACACATAACAAATGTATATTAATAATGCATTCAAATATAGTTACAAGCAAAAAATAAATGACTGTTCTAATGTTGACAAAGTGCTTTGGAAATCAAGCAAACAATACTCTTCCCATAATTTAAAGCAATTCTAACATCCTTTCAAGTTTATTAAAATAGGGCCTTTTGTAATTCTATTATCACATAGCTCATTATATTATAGTTATATAGCTTAAAAGAATATAATTAGCAATTTATTAATTAAATATTATTTGGAGCTTATTAATAAACAGCTTAGAAATACCCCACATATTAAATCATGTTTTTAGAACTTTGACTTTAAAGCTACTATTGTCTAGCTGAACAAAAACAAAAGAAAATCTAAAACTCTCAAAAACTCAAATTACTTTTGTCATCAATGCTGATAAGCAGAACTGAAGAAATGTAATTTTTTGTACCAACTTTTTCTTAGCATTTTAAATTAATTGATAGGTACATAAACATTGGGAAATGGGAAATAGGTACATAAAAATGGGAAAATTGATTTGGGAGGAATTCTGCAATTAAAAGTTATATCTTCAACTACCAATATAGAGAACTGTGAGAGTACAAGGTATGGCATACAAGGAGGAAGACAGGAAGATTGTGCTATTAACAAAAATTCACCTACTAAAAGAAATCTTATAACCCAACTTCTCATTAATTCAGGACAATTAAAAAAGAAGTCAGGTACCACATCTATTACATCTCACATAACATATGTATATAATGTAACATCACATATAATACATACATCTCACATAACTAGCATTACGCTAAGAAAAATAAGTATGACTAAGAAGTGTAATTGTAAAGGATCTCAAAATTGCAGTCTTGAAAGAAAGGCTTGGCTGTCATCTTGGAAAAGGCAGCTGAATCTGAGAACAAAAAGGATATCAAGCTCATTTTGGAGAAAAAAACGAAAGCTCCAAAAGTAGGAACATCAGGACTGAAAATACAGATCACACACGGAGCTGTGGTGATAGATTGTTCTGGAGGCTTGTCTTAAAAGCCAGATACATTAAAAGTGGTTCTAGGGGGCTGGGGATGTGGCTCAAGTGGTAGCGCACTAGCCTGGCATATGTGGGGCACTGGGTTCGATCCTCAGCACCACATAAAAATAAAGATGTTGTGTCCACCGAAAACTAAAAAATATTTTTAAAAAGTGGTTCTAGGGGGTAGCTCAGTGGTAGAGCACTTGCCTAGCATGCATGAGGCACTGGGTTCGATCCTCAGTGCCACATAAAAACAAAACAAAATAAAATAAAAGCATTTTGTCCATCTACAACTACAAAATTGTTTTTAAAAAATTCAAAAGTGGTTCTATACTCACTTTGGGGGTTGCAAGGCAGGTAATATTTCATTTACAAATCTTCTCCATTAAAATATATTCCTAATCATATTATTGGCCATTGTTTTGTTCATTATACTCTTGTATTTAGCAAAGGATTTAATTAAAGGCAGTTTGAGGCTGTTTAAATCTAAATGGTTTACTTGGGCTAAATATCTTCCTGCCTAAATGATTTGAAAAGTAAAATAGTCCTTAATTTTCTGCTAAAAGCCTATCTCAATCTGTTATAATACTTCTGATTTACAATGTTTGATAGATTTCTTCCTGTTTCTAGAGTATTCCCATTGTATAAATTTCCTAAGTACTTTGAATCAGGATAGGAAGTAGTAGAATATATTCTGAAATTAAAATAGGTTCTACTGGTTCAGTTCATAAAGATAGCCTCCCAAAAAGGTAAGATAAGACAAGAGAGAGGAAAGGGGAGGGAGATAAAAAGAGGATTCTAGTTGATTTTTTGTTCATTAAGAATAAACTAGAAATAATTTTACTTTTGGAATATTTAATTATCAATTGAAGTGCCAGGAATAAACTTATAAGGAAAGATATGACAGAACAGAGTTAAAGAATTTACATTAATCTGATAATAATTTCCATTTTATGTTAAGAACTTTAAAGTGCTTTCAAAATATTAGAAACTTTGGACATATGATAATGCTTTTCTTCAGAACAGCCTGGCTAAGTAAGTGTGAATGGCCAGATACGTAGATAAATTGTTTAATATACTTAGAAAATATAGAAATAATAAACAATGAAAATATTTTACCACTTTCTGGAGACTGAGTTGTAACCCAACCCATTGACTTCATCACAGCTTTCTTCCACGTAGAATAACGAATTTCACTTTCTAGAATTTGAAAGGAGGAAAAAGAAAACAGATATGAAAGGTAATTTGCAGAGGTGTTCTGTGTCATACTTATCACTCTGCATTTTACTATGATTATTTTTTGTACTGAGGATTGAACCCAGAGGTTCTCTATCACAGAACTACATTCCTACCCCTTTTTTGAGACAGGTCTCGCTGAGTTGCTGAGGATGCTTTTGAACTTGTGGTCCTCCTGCCCCAGCCTCCTGAGTTGCTGGTATTACAGGTATGTGCTACTGTGCCTGGCATCACTTTGTATTCTTGACATTGTTGTACACATTACACTAAAGTGAGGACTCAGATTTGGGAGCACATGGTTGTAGGTTAATGGGCGGTGTTTAGATATTATAGAAGTGTTGTAGAGAAAGAAGCATGATGGGAAATTCAGCATGGGACCGCAGGGTGAAGGGAGATTGGGAGACAGACTACCTGCTATGAAGACAGGGCTATTCAGAAATAAGTGGTGGTCAATTTGAAAACAGAACCCCATTTCCCATTTGATTTCTCTTTCTCTCCCCCTCCCACTCCTCCCCTCTCCAGGGAGAGGGGACTAATGTGAGGAGAAGGGGTTAGTATGATGTGGAAAAACTAGAATTGCTTTTGGTCCAGTTAAAGGATTTAGTAAATACTGATTTCTCACAAGATTCAAAGTGAATTCCTGTGAGGCTCCCCTGACACCTGAAAGCAAGATTTCTTAAGGTGAAAATCTACAACAGGAGGACTAAACAAAAAATGAACATTGACACTATACTCTAAAATCTACCAAATCATGTGTAAGACTAGCCTTTTGTCAAGCCTCCCCAGCCTTTCCACAGCTCCTGAAACCTGAAACTCCCAGGAGATAAGGCTCAAAGATCACTTGCTTCAGAAAGTTTTCCAATGTCCCACTTGTAACCCCATCCCCACCCTTGCCTTCTCACATCCCTTAAGATGATGGTTACCAAGTGAATTTTTATGGTTTGGTCTACCTCTCCCAGTTTATGTGAGTCTCCTGAGGTTTCGGAAAGGATTTGGTCTTTTACATCTTTGTAGCCTCATGAAAGTAACAATCTCTAACATGCAGTTGGCTCTAAGTAACTGTTAGCTGAAAGGATGAAGTAGGTGCCTATTAGTATGTGGGGGATAGTGGGAAGAAATCAGTGAAAGGGAGGAAAGCTGGCAGAACTGATCAACTCCAGGTTAAGGCTTTAAACGATGGCAAAGATGGCTCACCTAAGGAAACAATCATCTTATCCCCTTTGCTCAAAACTTCCTTGCTTTAAAAGTTGGATAAGCATTTAGAGGCCACATACATGTTCTGAATATTATCTGCCTATTAAGTTGGTATGTTTTTTCAGAAGAAAAAAAATTGAACTTCATATTTTATCCAGTATTACAAAAATTTAAAAATTCCAGGGCTGGGGCTGTGGCTGTGGCTCAGCAGTAGAGCACTCACCTAGCATGTGCGAGTCCCTGGGTTTGATCCTCAGCACCACATAAAAATCAATAAATAAAGGTTAAAAAATTATTTTAAAAAAAGTTTAAAAAATATTTTAAAATTTCTGACAGAATATTAGATTTTCAAACAAATTTCTACATCTTGTTCATGGTCTAATGTCTGACTATAAAATTATAGTATTATAACTTATTTTATTGTATATGAAACTCTAGTATAAATTCTAGAAAATTCAAGAAAAATGCATTTGAAAATTTATTTTCAAAAGCTCAAAATCCACTTTGATGCTTTTATGCATAAAAGGTTATAAAATCAAATTAATAAATAAAATCATATTTTCCTATTCACATCTTTAAGAAAAGTATCACTATATTTTAATAAAGATGTTGAGCAGAGCTTTTGGTCTAGTTTAATTGCTGAGGACAGTGAATCTGATATTTAATGCTCATTTATTTAAATTGCTGCCACTCTTGTTAGGGTAGTCCTGTTGTGCTAAAACATTACCAGAGTGTCTCTTAAATCAACTAATCATATTCTAGGAGCCAGGCCATCACACTGAGGGTGACTTGGTATACACATTAGAGGTGGGTGGCTAATATATCTCATTTATCACTTTGTTATTCTCCTAAACGGTGTAGAAATGAATGGTTTAAAAAGTGACTTTAGAGACTCGGGTTATAGCTCAGTGGTAGAGTGCTTGCCTAGCATGTGTGAGGCCCTGGGTTCGATCCTCAGCACCACATAAAGATAATAAGTAAAATAAAGGCACTGTATAAATCTACAACTGAAAAAAAATAAGTGATTTTAGAAGTTTTTTAAAAGGAAACAATTCTTTCCTCCACACTTATTCAGCATAGCCCAATATGGCTTAGCAGCCACATCTGAAATAGTAACTTTTGCTATTTTACTTTGTTCCTTAACTTAAATAGTAAACAGAAAGGCAAACGTCCTGAAACTGAAGTCATTTTCACAGAATACCATTCAAAGTTTCATTCTTTATATTTACCCTCAGCATTGATCTGAGGTTCAAATCGCTCCATCGTGACAGCTGACAAATCCTCAGGTTCAAGACTCCAAACGCCAACTCCTTCTGCAGCCCCTGCTGCCATTGCAGCACCGAGTGCAGTTGTTTCAGGCATGGAGGGCTTCACTGAGGGGCAAAAGATACATCAACAGTTTTGCAGTTATGTATGCCTAAGTTCTTCCGAAGGAACCATTACTCCTGGAGTTAAAGGAATGAAGACTTACTAACCTACTGGAATATACAGGATGTCCGCTTGCAGCTGCATAAGAATTTTGTTGCTGGTCATTCCTCCATCTACCTGCAAATGGCTGAGTGGAATTCCACAGTCGCGATTCATGGCATCCAAAATCTTAAATAAACCAATGCAATTAACATTATGAAACTACTTCATAGTAACATCTATGGAAATAGCAATCCTCCACTCAAAAACCCTAAGGAACTTTCCAAAGCCTACAATATGAAATTGAGATATCTTATATTCATTTTCCAAGCCCTCCTTGATCTGGTCACAGTCAATCTTTTCTCTCATTTTATCTCTGCACTATGATATTCAGCAAGCCATATGATTCTGTTCTGCACCCTAGTTTCCTGACTTGATAAGTCTGTGTCTGTGTTGTCTCCTCTGTTTACTATGTACCACTCAGACTCCCTGAAATTATAAAATGCCTAGTAATAAAAGCTGGGAAAAGGGGTGAAACATATTTAGATTTGTTTATACTAGTTCTGTTTTTTTATTAAGTATACTTTCGGCATTTAACAAATTTCAGGCATTAATATATCATTTTAAAATTCATATTAGAGGATAATTTACAAGAAAACAGGCCAATATTTATTACCTCTCGGGTTTGAAAACAAACAGCTTCTAGTGCAGCAAAAGCGATATGGCATTTATTGGTGAATTGAGTAAGTCCACAGATTATCCTAAAAATACACAAAACATTTTCAGATTAAAGTGTTATGAATAAGTCATCCATTTGAAATGTCCCAAATATGCAAAGAATGAATTTGGTGACAGAAACATTCAGAGAAAGAAAATTCAATATAATCATAAAATAACTTGGAAAGTCTTTATAGTACACAATCCTGCATTCACATATGGAAAAGTTCATGAGCCATCTAAATAGATGGCAATAAGGCAAAATCAAATCTATATTCATTTAGATGATAGCCCTTTGCTATACAACTTGTAGATGCCTTGAAGAAAAAGGATGACAGTATTATCATGAATATGAATATAGCAGAAGCTATAGTATACTGATTTATAACTTTTTGTAGTTTAAGGTTCTGAAGTTAGAGTCTCCAAACAGGAAAGGTTTTCTTAACATTTTAAAATCATGAAAATAGGAAACTAGGGCTAGGGATGTGGCTCAAGCGGTAGCGCGCTCGCCTGGCATGCGTGCGGCCCAGTTTCGATCCTCAGCACCACATACAAAGATGTTGTGTCCGCTGAAAACTAAAAAAATAAATAAAAATTCTCTCTCTCTTAAAAAAATTAATTTAAAAGAAAATAGAAAACTATTAACTAATTTGTTAAAAGAAACGAAACACCAAAAAGTAGACCTTATTGTCAATACTTACCTTCTTTATTTTCTAATTGATAATAGTTTTACATATTTGTGGATGGAGTATAGTGTGGTATTTCAATATACACACACAATATGTGATGATCAAATCAGGATGCTTAGCATATATATCACCTCAAATGTTTACCATTTCTCTCTGTTGGGAACATTCAAAATCCTCTCTTCTAGTTATTTTGACATACATATTAAATTATTGTTAACTATAGCAATACTTACCCTCTTGCACTAGGTTCCCAATAAGGTGCATATAACCCTGAAAATGCTGGAACAAAGTAGCAGCCATAAGAAGTACCTACTTCTTTAGCGAGTTTTTCTAAAAGTTAAAAGAAAAAGAAAAAGATCCAAAATCACAAATATCCTACATTTTGAATAAATATACCTATTTTCAAAATTATTTCAGGGTTTTGGTTTCCAATTCATTGGGATAGCCAAATGTTCCTAATTATAGGAGTATGTTAGGAGCAACAAAAAGGTTTTTTTACACTGAAACCCATCCCCCACTAAAATATAACCCAGCTCAAGAAATCAAGGAACTGGATTCATTTCCTTAAGGTATTTTAACTCTTTTCTATTTTTTTTTAAGGTTGCTGATTAGAAGATGAAGAAGTGGCCTCTTCTGTGCCTAAATATTTCTGATTGTCTATACAAGTGTCTATACAAGTGGAGAGTGAGTAGCTAAGTTCAAACTAATTACTCATCAATTGACTACACCCATATTAGTAAAGAGTTTTAATGTTCACTGTAATCTAGTGGTTAAAGCTCTTTTTTGGGGGAGGGGAGGGTGCCGGGATTGAACTCAGGAGCACTCGCCCACTAAGCCGCATACAAAATACTTATTTTGTATTTTCCTGTCTCACCAAGTTGCTTACTATCTAGTTTTTGCTGATGCTGGCTTTGAGCTCACAATTCTCCTATCTCAGACTCCCCAGCCACTGGGATTAGAGGCATGTGTCACAGCACACAGCTAAAGTTCTTTCTTATCAGATAAATGTAAGTAGACTGCTTTACCTGCAAATTTGGGCAATCTCTGGTGTTTGATTTTATATTTGGGTAATTTTTATGCCCTCCCTTTCCATTTCCAGTTTATTAATAACTACTGCTAACTATATCAATTTGTTGTTTAAGAAACCTTCACAATATAGTTTAAGTCAAATCTATAATAGGGGCCCACCTCACTTATAGAACACCTGTGTGGCAATGCAATCTATGCAGAGATAAAATATTAGAAGTTTTCATTTTTCAGATTTTCTAACCTGTTATTAGAACATACTCACCAATTTCCTCTGAGGACTTGATAATACCAAGATTATCTCGTAGCCAGCGAATAACAGCTCCAGCTATAGCTACAGAACCCTGAGGGAAAAAAGAAATCCAAGACAGAATATATGTTAGCACTACAAAGCATTTTTATTGACCCTATTCTCTGTATATGGCACTAGCAAATGGATAAATTTCAAGCATTTCAACCTTGGGAATCCCATAAATACAATAAATTAGGTCTTCTAATATGATTATAGTACTTCTAATATAAATATAGTTCACTAATAAAAGTTTTTCATGGGATAGGGAAAAATGAGCACTCCAGATACCCTTGGACCTGTCCCCTGTCGAATCTTTTAAGCAGTTTGATTCTTTTACCATTTTTTATTTGTTGCTAAGCTACTGGGGCATGCTATCACCTAGAGTAAATTTCCATTTTATTCACAAAGTTATTGGGAGAGGCTGCATTAAGTTTCTTCAACCTGGGTACAATGATGCATGTCTATAATCCCAGCTATTCTGGAGGCTGAGACAGGAAGACTGACTGGTCAGCCTGGCAATTTAGAGATCCTGTCTCGAAATAAAAGAAAACAAAATAGCTGGGCATAGTGGCACATGCCTATAATCCCAGCAACTCAGGAGGCTAATATAAGAGGATTGTGAGTTCAAGGTCAGCCTCAGCAATTTAGCAAGGCACTAAACAATTCAATGAGAACCAGTCTCTAAATAAAATATTTAAAAGGGCTGGGGATGTGACTCAGAGGTTAAGTGGCCCTGGGTTCAATCCTCAGTACCAAAATAGATAGATTGATAGATAGGCTTGGGATGTAGCTTAGTGGTAGAGTGTCACTGGGTTCATTCCCTAGTACTGTCAAAATAAGTTTCTTCAAATCCATTTTCCACATCCAATAGCATATAAAAATCAAGCAAAAAGCTGGTCATGGTGGTGGATGTAAAATCCTAGTGATATGAGAGGCTGAGACAGGGAGCAAAAGTTCAAGGCCAGCCTAAGAAATTTAGTGAAACTCTCAGCAACTTAGCAAGGCCCTATCTCAAAATTTAAAAAAAAAAAAAACATCCTAGTATGCATGAAGCCCTGAGTCCAATCCCTAGCACTGCAAAAATAATTTTTTTTATTATTTTTGGACTGGGGATGTAGTTCAGTGGCAAAGCACCCTTGGGTTCAATATTTAATACCCCCCAAAAAAGTTTAAAGACACTAGCTCCAAAGTAATTATTCTTTAAGACCAATCAATCACCAATGGATTTGGAGGTAGGGGCTGTGTCACAAGGATGAAAAATATAATTCAGAGTCAGATAAAATGAGTTTGAGTCCCATTTCTAGAACTTAACTTTTCTATGTAATCTTAGACAAATTATTTAGGCTTTCTGAGCTTCTTTCCTTCCTTTTTTGTGGGACAAGAGATTGAACTCAGGGGTACTCTACCTCTGTGCTATACTCCCAGCCTCTTTTTTGAGACAAGGTCTTGTTAAATTGCCTGTGCTGGGGCTAGGGTTGTAGCTCAGTGGTAGAGCATTCGCCTCACACTTGTGAGTCACTAGGTTCAGTCCTCAGCACCACATAAAAAAGAATAAGTAAATGAAATATCTATTATGTCCATCTACAACTAAAATATTTTTTTAAAAATTGCCTGTGCTGGCCTTGAATTATGATCCTTCTGTCTCAGTGTTCTGAGTTGCTAGGATTATAGGTGTGTACCTTTGCACCCAGCTCTGCACTTCATTTCTTTACATGTAAAATGACAGTGACTACTATCACAATATGTACTTAAACAAAATTACTGTAAGGCTCAGTATGAGAATACATGTGAAGGTTCTTAATGTAAAAATATTAACTTTGTTAATTTCTCTTTTTAGTTGTTGATAGACCTTTATTTTTCTTTATATGTGGTGCTGAGAATCAAACCCCGTGCCTCACATGCTAGGCAAGTACTCTATCACTGAAGCTACAAACCCAGCCCTAACTTTGTTAAAGTGTTCAATAAATATCAGCTAGGGGTGTAACTCAATGCCTACCATGTATAAGGCTCCAAGTTCAATTCCTAATATCACCAAAATATATATTTATATAACAGATATATCAGCCAAATTCCATCAACAGATGAATGGATAAAAATGTGAAACACTAACACTATGTAATATTATTTGTCCAGTAAAATGAATGAAGTACAACAATGGGGAAGCCTTGAAAACATGCAAAGTAAAAGAAACCAGGTATAAAATATCATGTACTGCATGACTCCATTTATATGAAATATCTGGCATAGGCAAAGCCATAGAGACAGAAAGATCAGTAGTTGTTTAGGGTGAAGGTTGGCAGTTATGGGGATTCTCTTGAGGATAATGAAAAGTTTTAAAGTTGGACTGTGATGATGGTTGTAAAAATCTGTGAATATTCTAAAAACCAGTAACTTATATACTTCTAAGGAGTAAATTTTGTTGAATGTGAATTAAATCTCAATAAAACTACTATAGGGCTGGGGTTGTAGCTCAGTGGTAGAATATTTGCCTTGCATATGTGAAGCACTAGGTTCAATCTTCAGCACCACATAAAAATAAAATAAAGGTACTATGTCCATCTATAGCTAAAAAAATTAAAACTATTATAAAAAATACATTAAGGGCAGAAAAAGTATCAGCATGAATCAACATGAATTTTAAAAATATTTTGCTCTGATGATATAGATTTTCAATGTAAATTACTACCACTGAGTCACTCCAAATCAAATGTCACATGATATTAAATGTAGAAACCTGTCAGTTCAATTAACTGAATTACAAATGTCATCCCTTCTTGTTGTCATTTTTCAAGATATATACAAATCAGATAATGAATGTACTGATAAAGTTCTTCATTCATACATTCTATAAGAAGTCACTATATGTTACTACAAAGCCACAGAATACTATAACTGTTCTATTTATACAATGGCTTTTTAACTACAAATAATTATATGTGGAGCATATTTACATAATAGTACAAAGATAATGAAGCTTTAAAACTGGGTCTGGGCTGTGGTGCAACTCAGTGATAGAGTGCTTATCCATGCATAAGTGCCAGAGTTCCATCCCCAGCATGGCAAAAACAGAACAAAACACCTTCCTCCCAGTTTAAAAAAAAAAAAAAAAACAAGAGGGCAGGACAAAAGCAATTCAATTAAGTAGCAACCTTAGCAACCTTAACCTACTTCACTACTCCCAGTGAAACTTATTAGTATATTTCCCATCTTTGATATGTTTACATTTAGATACTTAGTGGGACTACTCAGGAGTACTAAGTAAAAATTTTTTTAGAGAGACTTTACCTTTGGATTTCCTTTGGAGCAGACAATTCAAAGATAGTAGCTGTCAAATACTACTTGTCTGGTGTTATCCAATGAAATATAATGAGAACCATTGGTAAATTTTTACCACATTAAAAAAAAACTAAACATCTGGGTGCAGCAGTATATGCCTATAATCCTAGTGACTTGAGAAGCTGAGGCAGGAGGATTGCAAGGTCAAGACAAAATTACTGAGATATTTTATTTTTTGTACTATGTCTGAAATCTGGTAAATATTTTAAATTTACAGTACATCTCAATTCAAACTAGCCACATTACCAATACCCAATAGCCAGATATGGCTAGTGGCTACCACATTGGGCAGCACAGTTCTAGACTTCATTCATAAAACAAACGTCTTTTCCCCTTCTGCTCTCAAAAGACACTATGTATAACTCGGATCTAATCAAGAAACACATATATTTTCAATAGTTTAAGGCAAGTAGAGTGAATTTTGAACTAAATTCAACTATGAATTTTTAAAAGTTACTTTGCTAGAAGTCCAGCAGGGTGATTCTACGCCTATTAGCTAGTGGAAAACTTTGGGAAACCAAGTGCTGATATACCATATTTCCACTGAAAATGGTAGAATACTATGTACTTGAGACATTTTTTTTAAAAAAGAGGAAGCAATATGGCTTTAGCAAAATGAAAATCAAGGTTTTGATAATCAGTTGACAAGCAGAGGGCATTACTTTGACTTAAAACAAAAGAAACAAAATACAAAGCCACTGCCAAGACTTCAGAAGAAAAGTGTTAAGTTTGGTCATCAGGAGATATAGAAGTATTGTGCTGTATTGTGCTGTAATCAAAGAAATAGAGTGAATATAAGAAAATAAAATATAGATTAAAAACACTGATCTGTAAGAAGTATAAAATTTTGGTATCAGGATATAATACACAGTATGGTTTAGCTTTTACAGAAATTACTAAAAATGAGAGAAATCTTTAAAATTCACACAAAAATGTAGTTTTCTGAAATCAGAGGCAGGGGATAAAATGAAAGGTATAAAATTTTGAAGCTGGACAAGAAAACAGAAACAGAAACCTAAAATGATATGAAAGAATGTAACTGTCCATTTTGTTATTAATTAAGTTACCACAAACCTAAAATATAAAAATCCAATACTTTGGTGCACTATCTACAAAAATGAAGCAGCCCTAGTTATGAGTCTTGAGCCCCTAGGAAACATGTACGCAATTGTTGTACTCTAAGGAAGACACAATGGAACTGAGAGGGTATAATGAAGAATAAATTAAATGATATGAGGAATAAATTATGTAAAAATTAGACAATGTAGTCTGGAAAATGAAAGGCTATGGGAAGACTAGACTGAAAATAATCAAATAGCGGGGCTGGGACTGTGGCTCAGTGGTAGAGAGCTTGCCTAGCATGCTCGGGGCCCTGAGTTTGCTCCTCAGCACCACATAAAAATAAGTGAATGAAATAAAGGTATTGGGTCCAACTACAACTAAAAAATTTTTTAAAAATCAAGTAGCACTGATGTAACATCATAGCAAGTGCATGAACTCTTCCTCCAAAATTCCTTGACATGAATGCCACTGTCACAACAGTGTATGTACAAAGAAGAATACTTCAGAATGTGCCAGACTTTCATCTCAAAAGGCAGTTGGTGAGAGTGGAGATAATAATGTAAAATCAAGATTATCATTAAAATTGTTTAAAACCACTCATTAGGCATGGTAAACACAATTTTGTGCATACTGCAGTACTATGTATCCTACATG